AACCACTAGACCACCAGGGAAACCACTAGACCACCAGGGAGACAGCTGACAGCTGACTCCACTGTGATGTGACCCTGTCTCTCTCTCTCTCTCTCTCTCTCTCTCTCTCTCTCTCACGCGCTCTCTCTCTCGCTCAAGTATCTTATGTTCATGGCTGTATTTATTTATTTGATTAAAAGTCCAGTAAAAACTGTAATATTTTTTGAATTATTATTACAATTTTAAATAACTGTTTGAATATATTTAGAAAATGCAATTTTATTACTGTGATGTAAAGCTGAATTTTCAGCATCATTACTCCAGTCTTCATGCATGATCCTTCAGAAATCATTCTGATATGATGATTTGCTGCTCAAGAAACATTTCTTCTTATTTTTGCCACTTAATATTTTTGTGTAAACCGTAATACACAACCATTCATAAATTTGGGGGTAATTAAGATTTATAGCCTTACAAATGATTTTTATTTCAAAGAATTACTATTTATCAAAGAATCCTCAAATTAAAATGACTATTTATCAAAGGATCCTATGCAGTTTACATAAAAATAAGTATGTAAACTTTAGGAAAGTAGGAAGTTACGTAGTTTTTCCAGAAGTAGGAAAAACTGTTTTCAACATTCATAATATCAGAACTATTATTATTAATTAATAATAAGAGTAACAATAGTAACTGATCAAATTAAGCACCAAATCAGCATAAAAATTATTTTGACTGTATTTTGAATTAAATAAATGCAGCTGTGGTGACCAAAAGGAAAAAAAAAAGTATAAAATCTCAATTATTCCAAACTCTGAACTGTAATGAAATTGTATTTGGTAGTACATGAAACATTATTCTGTGTTCAGTGTCTTACTGTCATTCGTCATGTCCAGGTGTGGAATGTGATGGACTCGTAGTTTTGGACAGTGACTCAGAGTTACTCACATGAGGACAGCAGTGGTTAGAAAGGGACAGGTGACATCAGTGTTTCCCTTTCTGTGCTGCTGGTTGAATAACATTACTACAGGGTTATGCATATGTTTACTCAGTGACGCTGTCTGAGGTGTGATTGAAATATGACATGATTTATATGATGATTGAATATACATCTGTCAGTAGGGCTGCAGTACATGTGCATTGCATAATGTAGAGGTGATTCTGCGTGAGCCGAACACATGAGAAAGACCCCGGCTTACACTGCCACGCAGCGCTTACGTAAAGGCATTAAAAGACTTGGAGAATAGTCAAATTGCACAAGCATACACAAAATCCTTTACCTGTGAATTTCTGACATTTATACAAGGTTTAAAACATAAGGTTGTTTGCTTGCATTTAAGATGAGCACAGCAGAAGCAGTAGACTAAAAATAGTGAATCGCTTTTGTTGCGTCTGGTTTCATAATGCATTTGAGTTCTTAAAGGGGTCATGTGATGCGATTTCAATTTTTCCTTTCTCTTTGGAGTGTTACAAGCTCTTGGTGCATAAAGAAGATCTGTAAAGTTGCAAAGACTAAAGTCTCAAATCCGTGCTGGTTGCTGAGGAAATATCGACTTCGTGCTGTCGATCGCCGGATCGGCTTTCATCGTGGACGAAGCGGAGTCATCAAGTGGTTGCCGCAGGCATCACAGTATGGTAGGGACATAACATTTCCGTCACACGCTTGAGGTATTCGGCCAATCACAACGCACTGGATAGCTGGCCAGTCAGAGCACACCTTGCTTTTCAGACCGATGAGCTTTGTAAAAATCGACGTGTTTCAGAAAGGCGGGGCATAGAGGAGAAACAATAATGTACAATATGTGGAAAATAATGTGTTTTTTGAACCTTAAACCGCATAAACACATTTC